CCGCGGCTCGCTGGGCCAGACCCGAGGTTAGGGGAGGACGCGGGGCGGACCGCAGAGGGGAGCTGGGGCGGTGGCCAAGGCTGTGAGGAATGGGGACGTGCACGCGGGACAGCGCAGACACCTGCGCCTCCCCAGAATGTCCGCTGCAGGACTGGGGACGGCGGGAACGAGCCGCCCACAAGCAGGCCTGGCTAAAGCGGCCATGGCTTTTATGACCCTGTTTTCCTAATAACTCCCCTCCGGCCCGGCCTGCTTCCCAGTTACTGTCATTATTACTGCTCCGACCATCAGCTGGACACTTAACACAGCTACTCCTCACCGCAGCCCTGGAGGAGACCAGCCTAAACCCAGCTTAGGGAAGAGCCAACAGGCTGGAAGGGTGACGTCCTTTGCTCAAAGTCACCCAGCTCCCGGTGGAGCCGGGATTAGAAACCAGATCTAGAAAGACTCCGGAGGCCTGGGGCCCTGCTGCCTCCTGTACCTGTTTAAAACATTGTCCAGGTCGTCTGGTGACCCCAGGGGGCAGGAGGTCCCCCTATGCCCACCAGCTCGCCAGCCCCAGGGTCTGCCTGTGGGGATGCTGGCACCTTGATGAGGTCCTGGGGGGCTGGTTCCGCACCCGCACCCACCGTGCTCCCTCCGCCAGCCACCCCAGCCCACCCACTAGGCCCCCATTATGGCTCCCCTCTGCCCTGGAGGCTTGTTCCACAGTTCACTCCCCACGGAGCCCCTCGGGGGCCGTCTTGGTTCCCACTGAATCAGCGGGCAGTTTGGAGGTGGTATTGGCACACAGTGGGGAGGAGTGAGCGTGCGGGTCCCTGGCACAAGGTGGGAAGGCCGTGAGCGTGCGGGTCCCTGGCACACGGTGGGAGGAGTGAGCGTGCGGGTCCCTGGCACACGGGGGGAAGGCCGTGAGCGTTGCCTGAATAAAGAGAAAGGACAGCGTCTGTGGCGGGCCTGCACTCAGGAGTCGGTGAGAGGGCAGCTTGCTCCTCACCCCTCAGACCCTCCTCTGAGGACAGCATGCTCTCAGGACTGGGACAGGCTGAGGGCTCCAGGTTGGGGTCCAGGGGCCTTTCTCCAGCCCCTGTCCTTGAAGAGCCCTGAGCCTCCTCCTTCCCTTCCATCTCAGCTCAGACCCCACCTGGAGGCTGTTCCGGCCACCTCGTCCTGCAACCCCGCGGACTCTTCTCAGATCCCTGCATAGCTCTGACCCTTGCCAGGGTCACATCTATGGGTCTGTCCCTTGCTCTCCAACTGTGGGCTCCATGGTAGAGCTTTAGGCAGGCACCCCATGGAGGGGTGCCAGCTGGTGCGGTGCAGATATCAGGAGGCTTGGTGGCACCGCAGGAGATGCTGTCATGGTGGGGAGGCGGTGCACTTCTAGACCCCTGGGGCCCCAGGGAAGCGGTCTCCCATGAGCTGCCTATCTGATGGGATATGGCAGAAGCCAGGTTCCCGGGCCCAGCACAAGAGTGGAGCTTGTGCCGAGCTTACGGAGAGTGGAGCCACCTGCACTGCTGAATGCTGGCTCTTTAAATCTGCCTGGGCCAGGGCCTCACTGCCCCCAGAGTCTGGGCAGGGCTGGGCCAGCTGTTGGAGAGGAAAGAGAGGCCCAGCTGTGGGAAGGCTGAAGCCAACAGAAGCCAGGAACCAGGCAGGACTCATGGAAGATGACATTTAAGGCACAGGACAAGGGACCTTTGGGGACAAGTAGATCCTTTGACCACTCACTCCACACATGTTCACTGGGCCTGAGCTGGTGTCAGGCTCTCAGCGAGGCACTGTGAGGGCACAGGGGATGGGGCAGAAGATGCAGAAGACACCAGTCCCACCCGTCCCACCCGGCAGAAGAGGCTGTAAACAAACGATTCTAAGCCAATGAGCTAAGTGCTAATACAGGAATTACCCAGAGCTCTGGGAGCTCAGAGGAAGGAGTGGCTGAGCCTAGGGGGTCAGAGCAGGCCAGAGAGCCTGAGAAGCCTTAGAACAAGAGGGGAAGAGCATTCAAGGAGCGGGAACTGCATGTGCAAACCCCACGGGACCTCGAGTGTGCCTGCACCTCCACAGGCAGGGAGGGGCGTGAGAGGCCCAGCGGGTCTGGAGGGCGAAGGTTGGAGAGGGCGAGACCATAGCGAAAAGGATGTAAATACCTTGCGGACAGGTTTGGGTTTGTCTGAAGGCAAGTCTCTCTCTCTCTCTTTCTCTCTCTCTCTCTCATGCACATGCTCTTACCATGGATTAAGAGAATAAAAACATAAGTGTCGGGGGCAGTGCCCGGATCCGATTTGCATTTCAGACAGATGACAGGGTGAATGTTCAGAAGACAGACCTCGTAGACTCCAGGAAACCATTAATCTACCTCCAGGGGTGTGAGGCTGACCCTAGGAAGGGCAAGATGCGTCTCATCTGGTCACCAGGGGCAGACGAATCATGGATTTGAGTTCCCAGACAGCCTCCCCTCCCTGAGCCTTGGTTTCCTCGTTTGTGGAATGATCAGAGATGGAGGGGAGGCCCACGAGATCCCCTCCGGAGTTTCCTGCAGCCCTGTGACTGTGGAACCTGCTCAGGCTGGACTTGGAATTCCAGACATTTGGCAGCCTCTGCCAGGGTCTCTCGAAAAGCGCGGACAGAAGGAAGGCTGAGCACATCTGAGCTCCCCCTGGCGGCCGTGGAAGGCAGCCTGGGCAGGCACCATCATCCGCCTACCACGGCACCACCAATGAGTTATGCCTGGGCAGGCCACATTGGTGCCAGTGGTGGGGCATTGCTGCTCAAGGCGGGAGCTGCATAGAGGCCTGAGCTCAGCTTCCGGAATAAAATGAACGGACTGGCACCAGACCGTGCACCTGCAGTCTGAGCTAGCTGGGAGCCAGGGCAGGAAGATTGCAGTAGATGAGATGGTCAAAAATGTCTCTCTCGGGCCAGCCCCATGGCCTGATGGTTAAGGGAGCCACATACCACATGGCTGACTGTGGTTCGAATCCTGGCCCCAGTAGCTTGAAAAACACACTTGGCACATGTGCATGTATGTCCAAATCCAAACATAGAAAAAGGAAGAGGGGATTATAGCATGACCACACCCTACTGGAGAATGTCTTCTCCTCTCCCTGTCTGTCTCTCTGGCTGGTATGCATGCCCTCTGCCCAATCCCTCCCCTAATCTGTCTCCCTCATGAAGGAAAAAGAAAACTAAGAGCCATGTCAGGCCAGATCCCCTGCCTGTTGCGGGGGAGAGGGTACTACTACCACTCAGTTACTTAGGGTGTCCAAGAGATGGCCGGGCCATAGAGCCCAGTGAGCAAGGCCCAGAGACTGACCCCGAGCTCTGCAGGCCCAGGGAAAACACGGCCGAGCCTCCTCAGCCTATTCCCGTCCCACCATCCTGATTCTCCAGGCCACCTGGGAGCCTGCATTCAAGACAATCCAGGTATGCTGGGGTCCAGCCTCGGCGGGGGTGGGTTGACTTGTTGGAGGCGGTGCAGGTGAACAGAATTAGGCTAAAATCTCAATACTTTTTAGCATGTTTTTAGCCGGCTACAGTCAGAGCAAAACTCCGGACCACAGCCCCATGGCTATTAAGACATGCATATTTATTGAGGGATGTTTAGGAAGTAAGGGGGGTGAGGGGTAGTAAAAAATCTAAAGAACAGGGTATACAAAGCATGGAAACAATAATTATAAGACATGCTGTTTGTCTTGTCAGATTAGGTAAAAACCAATCGCAGTTTTTAGGAAGTGGAAGTCTGTTTGTCTGTTGTATCTTCTTAGATCTTGATTACTGGGAAGGGTCTTTTGAAGAGGGGGCTTGCAGGATGTTTGATAGCCTCAGTCCCAGGCCAGCTTGATAACTTCAGTCCCGGGCCAGGGCAGTAACATTGCTGGTTACAAAGGCCTAGATAGAAATCTTGTCTTGTTAAATAAATACACAGTTAATATGTGGACTATCTATATATTACAACAATAGAAGGTGAGTCTTATATAATCTTATATGGGAAAGGAAGATGATCTTGTAGCTCAGGAGACAACACAGGATGTTTTATTAGCAGTTTTTCATAGTCAACAGCACATAGATGAGAAACTCTTTGTAGTTGAA